ATATATATATATATATTGGGTGCATTAGTTCTACAAATGTTGTTGTATGTGATGAAACTAGGAGGGAAATAATTCTAACCATGATCCTTCAACATCATAACTAATAACTTAACGTCTATAATCTAACTGATGAAACCATGTATCCAACTGTGGAATTGCCAGGAAAGTAGCATTTAAACAAGCGAAAATTTAAACTTTAAAAGTTGTATGTTCATGTTATAGCTTCTTAAAGTTCAATCGAAAAAGGGAGTCCCTTCAAAACTACCGAAAAGAAACTTACGGTCCGCTTGGCGGTGCTTTGAAAATTGTTTTGTTTTGGGAATGAAAGTAGAAATGAGAAATTTTGAAAGTCACATTGAAATTGTTTATGAAATGTAACAATATAATTGGTCAGAGGTGGATTTATGAATATGTATTTGCTAACTTTATTTTGGGATTTTCTCTGGTAATTTTTGTAAAAATAGACTACAAGTATTCTTATTTTTTAACCATTAGATTTGTATTAAAATTTATCTGTTCGGTAATTTTTTTAATTTAATGTGATTTTGACTAATATCTAACGGTTAAAAACTGAGACTATCGATAGAGTGGATAATTGGAGAAATTCCCATTTTGTTTATGAGATAAGATTTTGTCCACGAACATCAATGGCTCCTCATATAGACGTCAAAGGGCTATTTTAGTTACAATTATGAACTTCAATGTCTATGAAATAGTTATTTTTATACCCACTTTATCAGACGTTAACCTATTGTATGGTATAATAAAATAATTAAATTAAGAAAAAAATACATGGTTTTTTATGGTTTTATATAAACTTATTATTTATACCATTTTAAATAATTAGGTGTTAATTTCTTGTTTTTTTCCTTAATATTAATTGTAAAAAAAAAAAGCAACATTTTGACTTTTAAAATTTCATCTTTGAATGATTCAGAACAACTAGAGAGAACAATGACCAATGGCACTCCCATTGTAGAACTTCCGCTTTGTATGTAGAATGGTCACCCATTCAGATAAGATAATACTGAAATGGCATTTTTCTCACTTAGATAGGTTTTAAGAGGCGATAAGAATTTGTCAACTTTTAGACGCTGAATCAAGAAGGTTTTTTGGCTTGATAGTTTCTTGAAGGTTTAGCGAATTACTCCTTAAACTTTTAATTTTGATAAGTTATTTTTTAAATTTGTAAATTTATTGTAATGTGTCTCATTTAATTAAACTTGCTTAAATTTTTAGTAGATTTATGGGATTAAAAATTGAGATATTGAAATATTTGTGTTACATTTGAATTAAAATGTTAAAATTTTTAATTGAACGTATTTTTTTGGCACTAATTTAACACGATTGTGGTCAAAATATGATTTCTCACTTAGATAGGTTTTAAGAGGCGATAAGAATTTGTCAACTTTTAAACGCTGAATCAAGAAGGGTTTTTGGCTTGATAGTCTCTTGAAGGTTTAGCGAATTACTCCTTAAACTTTTAATTTTGATAAATTACTTTTTAAATTTGTAAATTTATTGTAATGTGTCTCATTTAATTAAACTTGCTTAAATTTTTAGTAGATTTATGGGATTAAAAGTTGAGATATTAAAATATTTGTGTTACATTTGAATTAAAATGTTAAAATTTTTAATTGAACGTATTTTTTTGGCACTAATTTAACACGATTGTCGTCAAAATATGGCGTTTTGTAACAACTTTATAAAGTGAGGAGATAACTTGTCAAAATTAAAAATTTAGAAGGTAATTTATTAAACTATGACAAATTTAAGGGATAAATGTGCTAAAAACTCAATTAACAAATGTCAACTTGAACTTGTTTTTCTGCAGAAAAATGTCAACTTGAACCCCAAGGAAGCTGTCAACCTTTTTTATTTTGGGCGAAAAGGATTTAGTTAATCCATTAGCTTATTACTTCTCGAAATTTTGTTGATAGTTTTCTATAAATATAGGATCAATAAATACGTTGAATGCATTTATTTATATGCATTAAACAACATTTTGGAGCATTCTTTGCATTGAGAAAACCTTTTAGCATTTCATCTATAATAAACACCTGTCGTTTTATGTCCTATCTCTACAGAAACTATAGAAAAAGATAACAAATATGAAAATTAAAGACTGATTTCTTCAAACAAAAGACAAAATGACAAATAATTGGACCGAGCGTGTTCTTATCCACAAAAACGAGGCTGCGAGTGAGATAAACGTGGAGAAATTTATAGATAACTACCAATGTTTACCATTTCAAAGTCTCATCGTAATAAATTTTTTTTTTAGCTGGATCTTGTGAGCCCCACTCGTTTCCCGTCAAAACCTCATCACAAAAGTCATTAATTATCACCATCTTCCTATCTTGAGTCCCCTAAGTTATACTTTTCAAATTATCCACCAAATATATAATATAAATAAAGAATATAAATCTATCCTTATGGTAGATTCCTTCATTCCTTTATTTGTTTATTTGTTTCCATAGACCTATTTTGTCGCTTCTTAGCAATATTCCATTTTCTATTACTAGTTCTTGAATGAGAAGATTTTAGGTCCGTTTAGTTTCTTAATTCGAGTTTTTAATTTGAATTAAAATGTAAGTTTATGTGAGAGTTTTTTATTATAATAAAAAAAATTAAATGTGATTATTTTTAAAAATTTTTTACTGTAACAAAAATTGAATTCTAAACTATAATTTGTGAAATAAACGAGATCTTTGCTTTTTTGTATTCAGGTATATATTGGTAACCCACTTGCCAAATATAATAATTTTCTTGAAGTGAAGTAAATGACACATAAGACCTTGATTACAAAAGCACACGCACAAACATAGAAGAGAAAGACTTTGACTTTTTTATTTTTTATTTTTATTTTTTTTGCTCTGAATGATTTTGACAATTGACCAACTTTCTTTTTGTGCTTACCAACTTTGTTTTTAATTAAGATAATGCTACTTAATTAAATCCATCCATTACCCTCCAAAACAGTCACTAATAAAGGATAAAAGACACTTATCCGTTCACTTCGCTGATTCGAGTTTGTAATTCGAGTTAAGATGTGATTTTATGTGAGAGTTTTTTACTGTAGCAAAAAAGTTAGATGTGATTGTTTCTGAGAGCTTTTTACTGTAACAAAACTCGAATTCTAAACTCGAATCGGTGAAATGAACGGATTCTCATGATTTTGAAGTTTATCTTTTTTTTTCTTATTAGTTTTGATACACTTGATTCCACAAGCATAAGAATCATAGAAAGCACGTGAAGAAAAAGTGTCATGAATGTAGTGAAATCTTTTGATTCACTACTTTATGAAAATTAGTTCATGTTCAAATTCACCAGAAAAATGGGAAGAAAAATAAAAATTTTAAAAAAGGTGGCAGCCGAAACACTTGCAATTACAAAGGTTAAATCATTTTTCTTTGAAATTCAAAGCAAGACCGAAAAACTATTCTTCATCCCTTCAAAAAAAAAAAAAAGGATTATTCCCGTGTTAACATGTAAAGTAGTGCTAGCTTATCAGTCATCAATAAAGAATTTAGGTATTGTTCGTTTTGCAGATTTGAGTTTTTAATTTAAGTTGAGATGTGACATTTTTTAAGAGCTTTTAACTGTAAAAACTTAAAACTAAAAACTCAAATCGGTGAAATGAATGAGTCCTTAATTCATTACCACAGTAAAAAAAAAGGATTAAAATCATTAGGACCCGTTTGGTATACAAGTTCAAATCAGAGTTCAAATAAGGTTTTTAATGATGATTTTTGAAATTTAAATTTTTTTAAGAAAAAAACACTATAATAAAACTAAAATTATGAATTTACACTGTGATAGAATTTATATACTAAACAAGTATTAATATCAAGATTTATATCATAATTTAAATTATAATTTATATTTATTATAATATTTTTTTTTATAAAAAATACACATAAATTAAAAATAATTTTAAATTTATAAATCAAACGTCGGTTAAATTTATAAGGGTATTTTTTTCGGCAGTCGCTTCCTTGTGACAAAGATATTTAGCAATAAATAAAAAAAAAAAAAACATCTACAGTAACTACAAGAACCGTGCCAACTGTTAAGTGAACTATAAACGTTGACTGTTCATTCCCCCTATTTTACTGCGGCGTTCCACACCGACGACGGACGCTCAGGTGCCGTTAAATCACGGTTTCACCGTTAGTCAAAAAGTCAACAAAACACTTTTTTTAAAGATTTTATTATATTCACCTCAAGAAAAAAAAAAAGGTTTTATTATATTATCATCACCACACGCGCTTCGTTGGCCTGCGTCGAAGCTTCTCCCAACGCGCCTTCCAAATATTTTCGCGTGGACCCCACCGACCCACGTTTTCTCCTGCGTCACTGTATATATTTACCAACAAATTCAAAAGATACTTTTCCCAACAAAACCGACGCGAGAATTTAGCAGAAATTAAGTAAAGTATTACTACTATTACATTATTATTATTATCTTTCGATATTCCCTATTTTTATTTTCTTTCCTTTTCTCGATCTGTCTGAAAGTTGATACTGAAACGACACAAAAATGGAGGCGACGAAAACGGCGCCGTTGAGATTCACTCTGGGAAAGCAGTCGTCGATGGCACCGGACCGGGACATGGAGTCGCCGGGGAAGACGGCGCCGGAGGAGGACGACTCGGTGGAGGTGGATCCCGGAGTGAGGCTTATGTACTTGGCCAACGAAGGGGATTTGGACGGAATCAAGGAGCTCTTGGACTCTGGGATCGACGTCAATTTCTGCGACATCGATGATCGGACGGCTCTCCATGTCGCCGCTTGCCAGGGCCTCAACGACGTCGTCGAGCTGCTTCTAGACCGCGGCGCGAAGGTCGACACCAAGGACCGATGGGGTAGCACTGTAAGAATCGCCGATGATTTTTTTTTTTTTTTTTTTGGAAAAAAGCTTTCGATTTTGTTGAGGAATTATGTAATGTTAATAATGTCGGTTGAACGATGAACAGCCTCTTGCGGATGCGATTCATTACAATAAAGACGATGTTATCAAAACTTTGGAGAAACATGGCGCCAAACATCTGGTCTATTATTTATTTATTTTTTGGGTTGTTTTTTTTTTCCCTTCTTTTTATAGTTTTATTTATTTAGTTATTTACATTTTGTTGTATGATTTTCAGATTGCTCCTAATCCTATGCACGTTAGACATGCCCGTGAGATTCCCGAGTACGAGATTGATCCAAAGGAGCTTGATTTCACCAACAGTGTTGAGATTGATAAGGTAAAAATTTTAATTGATGTTTTCCACATTGTTTTAAATCAATGTTCCGTCGTTTGAGAGAGTAATTGTCAACGAGAAATATAAACTTTTTATTTTATTTTATTTTTATTTGATCTTGACGTTTCTGCAATTAACGTGCTGAATTTCTTATATTCATACGAAAAGCAAAGTAATCTGTGTAGTCTTTGAAGTTGTTCAGTTATTCTAATCAAGCTCCTTTCTGGGTATTGAATATCCACCCTCCACTGGTTTGAATGAAAGTGTCACTCTCTTTATATTCCAATTGCATTTTCTATGTGTGGTAGGACATAATACTATAATACTCAATCAATTTCCTTGCTCAATTTGCTTTGACACCCTATTTTTGTTGATTAAGAGGATACTGTATGTATCTCATTTGTCTTAAAAAATGCCTTTGGTTTCTCTTTCATTTTGAAATGCAACCTTGTGGGATGCCTCAGGGGACCTTCCGTATTGCGTCATGGCGTGGAATAGAGGTTGCTGTGAAGAAGCTCGGGGATGGCTTGATTTGTGACGAGGATAAAGTGTTGGTTTTTCATAGACCTCTTATTATTTTTATGATTCGGTATTTTTTAATTTTTGTTACGGTGTTTAAAGCGTTTCTCTTGTCCCCTGCAGGAGGGCATTTAGAGATGAACTTGCATTGCTTCAGAAAATACGGCATCCAAATGTAGTCCAGTTTCTGGGTGCAGTGACTCAAAGTAGTCCCATGATGATTGTGACAGAATATTTGCCCAAGGTTTTTATCATACTTTTGAATTGTGTGGAATAAAAATAGTATTTTACTGGCTTTTATACTTCTGGAAAGTTAATAAATATGTGAGGTTATTTAGGTATTATACATCTTAGTTTGCGCTGCTGCAAAATTACTTTTCTTCTTATGTTCGGGAAGTGAATTGGAATTCTGGTTGTAGATGGAAATTACTCTACTTCGTCCTCTACTATGCTCTGTTCGTTTTCCTAACCCTTTCATCATGTAGAGTGGAGAGAAACTCAATACTGTGTAATGCTCAGGGCAATATGTGGTTGGATTGGTCGATACCATTTATCTGTTCTGACCTTTATTTGCTTTATTTGTGGTGTAGGGAGACCTTCGTGCATTTTTGAAAAGGAAAGGGCCACTTAAAGCAACAACAGCTGTTAAATTTGCACTCAATGTTGCAAGGTCTCTTACTCTTTCTAACCAGACTGGCTTATGAATTTGGAGAAATCTTATGCCAACAATAATCAAATATTTTCGATGTTTACAGGGGAATGAGCTATTTGCATGAAAATAAGCCAGAACCAATAATTCACCGTGATCTTGAGCCTTCGTAAGTTCTTTTATCGAAGCTTATTTTACCATTGAAATTTGGATCAATTGCCATATGCCAATATTTGCAATACATATTGAACAATATCTGCATATTCCATATAGTCTAAATGGCCGGTGATTTTATTTTATTTTATTTCATTGCTTACCTTCAAGAGAACAGAAATATATTGAGGGATGATTCTGGACATCTGAAAGTAGCGGATTTCGGAGTTAGCAAATTGCTAACAGTTAAGGAAGATAGGCCTCTGACTTGTCAAGAAACTTCCTGTGAGTGTTGCGTCTAGTTCAAATATCATGATTTCCATTTTATTTAAATGTTGCAAGAAGTAATGTGTTTTATTTATCTGCAGTGAAAATGTATCTGGATCATCTTCATGCCTTGTTTCATGTTTTTCCTTAAATTTCTTTTATTTAAATCAACATAATAAGTTACTAATTTGTAGTTTCTAAATGGAATATATTTATTGTCACTGGCAGGCAGATATATGGCTCCAGAGGTTTTTAGAAATGAAGAATACGATACCAAAGTGGATGTATTCTCTTTTGCTTTAATCCTGCAAGAGGTAATTTGTCTCATTCTTTTTTTTGATATACAATTTTCCTTGAAAGAATTGCTCTCTCCAATCTAGTCCATGTCCCAACTACAGTTCTTTCTAACATCCACTGTTCAAAGGAGATTATGCATTTGGAATTCTTCTATAAACTTGTTAGTTTCAAATTTCAACTATATTGACATTCACAAAAATGTTACAATAATTTGATTTGGACTGGCTGAGATTTTATACATTTCCAATAACAATCCGTTGTTCTTATGGTCTGAGTATGAGGTCCATGCTTACATTTATGGTTTGGCTAATGCATTAGGTTGTTCCAACATCTAATTTGTTGTCTTCAGGGAAAGCTCACTCATATCAGGCTTGACCGATTTAGTTTTTACTATGTTGCAGATGATAGAAGGGTATCCACCATTTTCTGTTAAGCAAGATAATGAAGTTCATAAAGCATATGCTGCCGGTGAACGACCACCTTTTAGGGCTTCTGCAAAGCATTATGCACACGGTCTTAAAGAGTAAGTACTCAAAGTTTTTTTAAGAATTTTTCATATTTGATTTTTTTTCCTTACTATTTTGTTCATTAGTTTCTTTGTTAAACTTTTTATTTTCTTAAGTTCCAACTTGGAAAATAAGAACGTCGTGAAATTCGTAAAGACATTTTGAGCTCTTTTCTTGAACATGAAGCTCGTTCTATACTTTTATCTTTGTAACTGTGCTTGTCTAATTGTTTTCTGAAGAAGCAAATAGCTTTTAAGATGCTACTGAACTTGTTCACCTCTCAGAAATATGATTTTATGTGTTTCCTTTGTTTTCTTTAGGTGCATTTTGGGCCTCAAAATTTAACTGATCTCTCAAATTAATGCCTATTTATAGGTTGATTGTGGAGTGCTGGAACGAGAAGCCGGCTAAGAGGCCAACATTCAGGCAAATAATAACTAGGCTCGAATTCATATACAACCGTGTTGGTCATAAGAGACGTTGGAAGGTTTGTTCTCTAAATAATCCACTTTCGTCGTGTATAGAGCTATGCACTCCTGCAAGTTTTTAGATGATTATATCATTCCAGTGAACAATAACGACAGATGTATATCAGAGAATATCATCTGTTTTTATAGACTCGATAAAAATATTAAAATCTCAAGTTCTGGATGGTAAGTTTTAGAATAGAGTCATAAGATACCAGCATTCACCTGAAATTTGTGCATGCTACATATTTGGTAAATTTAGTATTGGTGAATTTCTCCCGAAATATATATATATATATATATATATGTATGTATCTGTTGATGAGTTGCTTTTTTAAGTCCTTGAATAAGTTCATATGAATGTTCAATCTTTTCAAATAGACACATAGGAAACAGGGGACTGTTGAAGTATGGTAGTTTAGTGGCATTTTGTCTTTGTTTTCTTTTGGATAGCTCTGTGGATTAATGGTCTTTATTTAACTAACGACCTCCTTTTCTCTCTGGCTTCATTTAACATGTACAGGTTAGACCATTGAAATGCTTTCAGAATCTGGAAGCCATATTGAGGAAAGATCATTCCAGTCCAAGCAGCCGCAGCCGTTCATCGCGATCTTCTGCCAGCGGCATATAGATAGAATTTTTTTTTTCCTTCATTCAACGCAACAATTAACACTAGATTTTCCTATTTTTTCTTTATTCAAAAAGCAAAAAAGGAAAACGAAAACAAAATTTCCTTTCCAGCACTGTGGCAAAAGCTTTTTTCCCAAAATGGTAGCCAAGTTTTCTTCTGTGTAATCCCACTGATGGTTCATGTTAAGAAATAATGCGTCCATTTTTCCTCTGAATTGATTTCCGAGTCACTTGTAGCACACCCTGTTTATGTACATGTAATTATGACAATTATTTTCTCACAATTATTATTATTTTTTTCTTTCGCATTATGAGCTTAGATTTGGGAACCTGATCAAAGGTCCAGTGATGCACATGTTGTAATTTGTGAGATTGGATTATATTATTTGAAACTTTGTTGGACATTCTTAGTATGCTGGATATTCTAGAAGCAGTGGGATTTGTGGATGTTTACCGAGCAAGAGAGTTGGGAAAATTTTTTGGATTCCCTTTTTTTTAACTGAAGTTTGAAGGGAGAAAGAGGGAAATAGGTCAAGACGTGAGATGAATTAAAATTAATAGGTCAATAGTTTACATAAGTTAATACATAGGTTAAATTACTGTTTTCGTTCATAACTTGTCTGGTTATGAACCATAACTTGACAAGTTATTGTTTATAATTCACAGTTTTTGTCAATAACTTGTCTGGTTATGAACTATAACTTGACAAGTTTGTCCATAACTTATCTGGTTATGAACCATAACTTGACAAGTTATGGCCTATTAATTTCTATAACTAAAAGTTGGCCTATATAATTTCTTAAGCTTTTCATATTAGTTTATTTTCCACTATTTCTGATTTTTTTTTTTTAATTCCATTTTGGTCTGGACTTTCAAAACATCTTAGAACACGTTTCAGATCCACCAATTAATAGTTAAGGTTATTTTGATAGTTTTTAATAGTTATTGACTAGGGATGGCAATTCGTGTTAGTGGGTCGTATTCGTGCCAATTTGTTTATTAATTGGGTCAGAAAACATTAAACTAAACACGACCCGTTAATTAAAAGTGTTAAAAAATGTTAATCCAAACACAACTAATTTATTAATCGTGTTAATCGTGTGAACCCGCATAACCCGTTTAAATTTATATATTGAATAAATAACTAATATAAAAATGACTTATTTAATACGATCAAGACACGTTTAACATGTTTATTGGTTGTTGATGACTGTTTTTGTATCAAGCCCATACAAAGGTCCAGGCCTAATGATTCTGTCCCGTGATGAGATTGGGTTTGATTTGTGGACCCAAGCCACGCGAGTTCCGTGGGCCAAGAGAAATCGAACGGCCCATTGGTTTCTTAGTCCGATCCAATTTTAAGTCCCGCGTGGGGGTTTTAAAATAATTGGGCTAAGGAATGAATGAGTGATGGAGAATCTAACCCCAAGATCATTTGTTTGCCTTTTAAGAGTCTTAGAAACCCTTTTCTTAGCCTTCGGAGACTTGAAAGTCTAGAATTTAAGTTGAGGAAACTTCCCCTCCGACACCAGATGCGAAGTTTTTCTATTCTGGACCAGCTTCCTTTGGAGCTAGCAAGGATTCGTCTCAATGACAGTTGTTGCTCCGAAGGTGTCACTGACTCACTGTGGACACCCCCACAGAGGCATCACTGCATATGCCACCATGGAGATACTTCCCATGCTCTAAGAGACTCCTCTGTGACTGAGGATACCTCTTATGCTCCGAGAGACTCCCCTGTGTCCGAAGGTTCTTCATGTGCTTCATAAAGATTGAATGTGTCAGGTGCTCCAGCGATGGCTGTTTAGTCAAAATTGGAAGGCAGCGCTCTGAAGCTGGTCTAACATGTGTTCAGACCTCCAAGAATAGAAGCGTCCACAGAGCACTATATTTAGTAATACACTCCATGATCTCTAGACTTGGGGAAGGTCCACTGTTAGCTAGAATTTTGAATTTGGTCTCCAAATACAATCATTTTTGCCCAATTTGTTTGTCAAGGAGGAATGTCACCTGATGCAGGTGCTCCGGAGGGAAATGGTTCGTACAAGCCTCTAGCAAGGCGTGATTGTACGGCTCTGGAGCAACCACCCAAGACTCCCAAACCTTCTCCTATAAATACCCCTTAACTTCTTCATTTAGGAGACATAGACATTACACTTCTGAGACTGCCTTTTTGACACACATTCTTTCTGAAAGATTACAACTTGAGTTCATCCCTTTGAGTGTTGTTCTTCAAACTTGTGCTCTTCGGGTTTGAAGTCCTTCATAGAAACTTCACTCAAAAAGTCTCAAAACACATCGTTTGATATATCCAAACTCGCCAACAAGCTACATTTGAAGTTTTTGAGGTTTCTCCGGATGTATGAAAATCTGCCTCCGTGCCTAGACTCTGCCATCTCGGAGCACACTTTTGAAAAAGCATAAACTTCATCTGTTGATACACATTCATGGAGGCAACCTATATTTGTTCTCTGAACACTTCTCTGAACCAAGCCTTATCCGCACTTTACGAGTTAGACAACCACTCCGGAGGCAACCCGTGCTTGTCTTCAAAGCATTCCTCCTTTGAAATAACCTTATCCACACTCTCTGAGTCAAACCTCCATTAACCGTTTGGTAACTCCTCCCACCATACTTCGTCCAAGCGATCTCCATGACTGAGTTCAACATCTTCCCATGCGCATAGTCGAGAATTCCTTAGCAACTTGGCAGCAATGTTGGTCCTAGAAGCTGATTTCTTCGGCTTACTTTGGGCCTAGCCAATCCCCTCTTTTTCATTGGAGGTCATACTGTACAAGCTCCTCTGTGAACGCCGCCTGTTTCGTCCGCGTCAGCAACGACACCACCGAATCTGGTACTTGCATATGTATACCTTGTACACGTTGTACCCAACAAATATATCGGGTCCCGACATTAGTCAATTTATCTTTTTCTCTAAGAAAAAGAAATGAATTTTACCTACAAATATTAAAATTCATATTACTTGTATTTAATATGTCATATAAATTTTTATGTTATATCACATACAATTAAATTGCAGATGACACATATGGTTAATTGTGTCAATTCGTATCACGTCGTGTTTGGAGGTTAACCTTAACCCAACCCATTTATTAATCGTGTCAATCCAATTATGATACAAACCTAATTTATAATAAACTCAAACCCGCTAACTTCGTGCGGATTTCGAGTCGTGTTTCGTATCATCACCCAAATTGCCACCACTAATCGCACACAAGCAAATTGGTTTTCAGTTCATGCCAAAAAAAAAAAATGGTTTTCAGTTTTCACTTTTGCACCAAAAAAGAAAAGAGAGATTAAAATGGAACACTCTGTTAGAGTGTTGTGCACGTAAAGAAGAATTTAAAGCAGACAGAAAATGTATACTTGTTAATGATTGTCTTGTTATTTTTCAGAAAGCAATTGTCTTGTTATTCAGTTCAAGATAATTTTCTTATAAGGGTTCGTCAAATACGTTGTTTACATCGTACTATATAGTATACCAGTTGCCTTTGTTGTACTCTTACCAAAAAAAAAAAAAAAGGGTGCATTTGTTGTACGATGCTTATTTGGTGGCATGAAGTATAGATTAATTTGGTATGTTATCCTATCTGCAACTTGTTCGCACAACTAACCTAGCGAACAAGTGCAGCAGCACGAGAAAACCTAGAGAACAAAATATGATAAGATACACCAATGACTGTAAAGAAGAAACAAATGTTATAGGTGTATATATAATATATAAAATTGTTTATACGGGGTACGATCAAAATTTTATGGTAAAAGTGCAATTTATCCTTTTGTGAATGTATAAATGGACATTATGGCTCTGTTTAGAGTTGGTTTTATTTTTTTTTTTTCATGTTTTTTGATAAAGAAAAAATAAAAATGAGAGAGAAACGGCGTTTGATACAATTAAAGGCAAAAAACATAAATGAAAATGATTTTTTTGATTTAGTGTAAAATGAGAGAGAAATGAAAAAGTC